CCGCAGTCCCGACCTGCTGGGCTCCAGCGATCCTTCTGCCTCAGCCTTCCAAGTAGCTGGAACTACAGGCGTGTGCTACCATGCCCGGCTGATTTTTTTGATTTTTTGTAGAGATGAGGCCTCGCCAAGTTGACCGGGCGGGTCTCGAATCCGTGGGCTCAGGCCATCCACTCACCTCGGCCTCCCAAAGCGCGGGATGACAGGCTGAGCTACCGAGCCTGGCCTGGGTCCGTTTGTTAAACCTTGCCGTGCCTCAGTCTCCCTGCCTGTAATATGAGAATGTTAACACCACCCATCCCATGGTGTTGCTGGAAGGATTGTGTGAGCTGATATAAAATACTTAGAGTAGTGTCCAGGCCATGGGAAGTTAGCCACATTATATATTTTTAATGAGACAGTATATTTACATGAATGATATCTAGCAGTCTATTCAACCATCTTGCTTCTTAAAGCTGCTTTTCCACTCAATAAAATCCCATCACCTCTTTTTACCATGACATTTCCACACCATGATTTTTTTTATCAGATGCACAGTGGTCTGGCACAGTTCCTTTGTAATTGAACGTAAAATTGGACTTCCAGGCCAGTTCCTTGTTTTCTGATATTACAGTTAATGTTGTGATGAATATCCTTAAAGGCAAAATGCTTACATACATTCCAAATCACTTCCTCGAGGACAAATTCTTAGAATGAAACTGCTGAGTTAATTTTCAAGACTTTTAATACTATGTATGAATCTATCACAGCAAACACTTTTCTTTATTTATTTTTAGCAACCACCTTTTTATTCATCTCTTTATCTAGAAAATAATCATCCTTGCCCTTGCCAGCACTTGGGGGATGGGCAGAATTTCACTTAACAGAAAATCCAGTTGCAGGATGTAATTTCTGCGTAAGAAACCATCTATGGCCAGGAGACATTCTCTGCTCAGGCGTGGTGTTTAGGAAGCAGATATCTCAGCCTGTGAAGTATCTGTGCCCAAACAACTGGACCAAATCTAATTACAGCTACTTAAGTCTAATTAGAAATACAGAGGATAGAAGAACAAGTTAACAACACCATGAGAAAGCAGCTAGCCAAATCCAGAATGTCCATGGCATGGTGAGCAAATGATGGCCTGCTGTCTGCTTGTGTAAATAAAGTTTTATTGGAACACAGACACACCCATCTGTTCACATACTGTCTATGGCAGCTTTTGCTCTACAAACGTAGAGTTGAGTAGACATGACAAGACCACAGGGCTCTCAAAGCCTGAAATGTTGATTCTCTGGCACTGTACAGAAAATGTCTGCGGACCTCTGTCTTCTAGAACCTGGTTTCTCCAGCAAAGCAATTATATGAAAACAAAGCAAAACAAAAATAAAAAGGAATGCATCTTTCAACAAATGATTTTGGAATAGCTCGCCATCCATGTGCAAAAAAATGAATCTAGATACAGACCTTACACCCTTCACAAAAATCAATTCAAAAGGAAGCACAGACCTAAATGCAAAATGCTAAGCTATAAAACTCCTAGAGGACAACACAGGAGAAAACCTAGATGACCTTGCGTTTGGCAATGACTTTTTAGATACGACACCAAGAGTGCAATCTGCGAGAAAGAAAGAACTGATAAAATGGACTTCTTTAAAATAGATGAGGTCAAGAGAATACAAAAAGAAGCCACAGACTGCAAGACATTATTTGCAAAAGATATATCTGACAAAGCACTCTTATCCAGAATATACAAAGAACTCTTAGAACTCAACAAAAAGAAAACACACAACCTCACGAAAAAACAGGGCAGAGTCCTTGATAGAGGACTTGATAGAGGCTTCACCAAAGGAGATGTATAGACAGCAAGTAAGTACATGAACACGTGCTCCATGTCATCAGGGAAATGCCAATTAAAACAACAACCAGATATCACCACACAGCTGCTGGAATGGCCAGATCCAGAACACTGACATCACCAAATCCGGGTGAGGGGAGCTCTCACTCATGGCTGGTGGGAATGTAAAATGGTATCAACACTTGGGAAGATGGTTTGGCAATTTCTTACAAAACGAAACATACTCCTGCCATTAGATTCCATAATAAAAAAATTTAAAAAAGAAAAACAGCCTGGGTGTGGTGATTCATGCCTATAATCCCAGTGCTTTGGGAGGCCAAGGCGGGAGGACCGTTTGAGGCCAGGAGCTTGAGATCAGCCTGGGAAACATAGCCAGACCCTATCTCTACAAAAAAAAAAAAAAAAAGCCAAGTGTGGTGGCATGCACCTGTAGTCTCAGCTATTTGGGAGGCTGAGGCAGAAGGATTGCCTGAACTGTAGAAGTCGAGGCTGAGGTGAACCGTGATCATGCCTCTGCACTCCAGCCTGGGCAACAGAGAGAAACCCTGTTCTCAAAAAACAAACAAGCCAAAAAAACCCCCAAAACCCACATAACCCATGAGTCCATTCAACTTACATAGAATAGAAATTTCCAAAATAATCTCCAGTTCTACAACTGGCTATTAAACAATTTTGATGAGTGGTTTTCAGAGGTCTTCTTAGTTTTAAATGATAGTAGACAGTTCTCAGGAAATCAAAGGCATGCAAAGATATTTAATTACAAGGACATTCATAATGTTTCTTTCTTTCTTTCTTTCTTTTTTTTTTTGAGTCAGAGTCTCACTCTGTCACCCAGGCCGGAGTGCAGTGGCTCGATCACGGCTCACCATAGCCTCAACCTCCTGGGCTCAGGCAATCTTCCTGCCTCTTTAGCAGCTGGGACTATAGGTGTACACCACCACGCCCCCCAGCAGAGATAGGTCTTTGTTGCCTAGTCTGGTCTTGAACTCCTGGACTCAAGCATCCCTCCTGTCTTGGCCTCCCAAAGTGCTGGGATTACAAGCCTGGACCACCGTGTCTGACCTTGATTATTTCTTAATATTAGCACAAATTTAGAAATAATCCAAATATCCAGCAATAAGGAATAGGTAACATAAATGATGTTATACTTACACAGTGGGTCACTGAATAATCGTGTGTCTATACAAAAATATTTATGAAAGAGGGTCACAACAGGCTTTTAAGCAAAGAGCAGATTAAGAAACAGCACACTGAGTTAAGAATCGAGTTTTCAGTCCTGGTGACACGTTAGAATCACTTGGGGAGCTTTTTCAAAATGCTGAGGTCGAGGTCTCACCCCGCCCAAGACATAGCCAAGAAGACGGAGGGTAGCAGGGAAGTCCAAGGAAGACAGGCTGAGGCGGGAGACCTCTGCTGTGGGCAGAGAGTCTGCCAATTTGGGGAGGACGAGAAGATGATTCTGCTCTCTCTCCCCATCGTGAAAAGATGGTTCTAGATGGTTAATTCCCTTTACAGCAAGGATCACCCTCCAGTAAACTGGAACGGGGAAGTCCCACCTGTAGGGTCACTGAAGTCCCTAGAAAGTGGGTCTGCAGAGATGTTATAATGGATCCCTGAATCCCTGAATGCCTTTGTGCCTCTAGAATTGTCTAGAGAGTGAATAAAATGCATAAACCTTAGGCCAGGCACAGTGGCTCTTGCCTATAATCCCAGCACTTTGGGAGGCTGAGCCGGGTGGATTGCTTGAGCCCAGGAATTTGAGACCAGCCTGGGCAACATAGTGAGACTTTGTCTCTAAAAAATAAAAATAAAAAGAATGCTGGGTGCAGTGACTCATGTCTGTATCCCAGCACTTTGGGAGGCAGAGGCAAGAGGACTGCCTGAGCTCAGGGGTTGGAGACCAGCCTGGGCAATGCGGCGAGAGCTCATCTCTACAATAAATCAAAAAATTAGCCAGGCATGGTGGTGCATGCCTGTGGTTTCAGCTACTTGGAAGGCTGAGGTGGAAGAACAGCCTGAGCCCCGCAGGTTGAGGCTGCAGCGGCTGTGAGTGCTGTTGCACTCCAGCCTGGGTGACAGTGAGACTCAGACCCGAAAACAAACAAACAAACAAGCAAAAACGTAGGTGTGGTGGGATGGGCCCACAGTCCCAGCTACAGAGGAGACTGAGGGAGGATCACCTGAGCCCAGGAGGTCGAGGCTGCAGTGAGCCATGATTGCGCCACTGCCGTCTAGCCTGGGTGACAGAGTGAGATCCTGACTCAAAAAAGTGTAAGTCTTTTTCGAATATAAGTAGATGACATTTTAATAAATACATACCAACTTAAAATGTGCTGAATTAATATAGCCTTTTGCTATTATAGAGTTTTCCAATTAATGAACAATAAAAGTACAGCTACCACATGACATATGGGCCTGAGATGCAGAGTCATAAGTACTCTATGTGAGCTCTCAGGATCTTTTTACAGCTGGCATATTAATTTTTTAGAAAAATCGATCACACCCAGGAATAAGCACGTTCTGGATTATCCGCTGAGATGTTCTGACTGTGTGATCTCAAGGCTACGTCTGCATCTGTGCTAGCAACACGTGACGGCTGCCCGAAGGAGCCAGCGGCTGGCGTTTCATGAGGCGTTTCTCAGACTGGGCCGGCGATGTGTTCTCTGAGAATCCTTGCACAAGTCTGGAGAGCCCGGCGCCCGCCTGGGCTCCCGGGTCTCATTTCGTGGGGCCGCAGAGACAGTCACGTGCCCGGTGACCACCAGGTGGCGCCGCAGGACACGGTTGCCACCTGGAGCCCGGGGAGGCCATTTCTCCAAGTGGCAGGAGTGCCCGCCCCTTCCAGCCTGGGTGCCAGCGCTTCGACAGCGATATCGCTCATAAAATAGAGAAGCAACACGGAAGGAATATTTATTTGTGAGGACGCGGTTGCATTTTCCCTCTGCATCCTGGAGCTCGGGGAGGAGAATGCAGGGAGGATTTCCTCCTGGTTTTGGGAGTGGAGGGTGGGGCGGGTGCTGGCCCAGGCGCCTGGGAGGGGTCTTGGCTGCTTCGATTCAGCTTCTCCAGCGACTTCCTCAGGGGACTGAGTTCCCGGGAGGCCAAGTTCCTTGGCATGGTCCCAGTTTCCCCATGGGGGATGGGGGGTAGCTCAGAACACTTCCCCCTCGCATGCCTCTCATGGTGAGTCACCCCAGGGGTCACGTCCTGCCCCAGCCCTGGGGCTGACCCCATGCCCGCTGGCCCAGACTCCTCTGCTGTCCACTCAGTGGTTGGGGGCCCGAGACGGGGGTTGGCAGTGGGGTGGTGGGGGATGCCAGCAGTGGCAACCAAGCCTTCCACCTCTCACCAACCTGCAGGCTTCCTCCCCTAACCCCTCCCTCCTCCCATTCCTCTGTTCTTCATTTCTTCTGCATTCCTTTCTCTTTTCCTCCTTGGAGACGGGCTTAACTCAATTCAAGGTAGCTCAGTTCCCCAGGTGTTTATTTTGCGTTTTCTGCCCCTCAGCCCATGTCTGGATGTGGAAACCCCTCCTCCCCGCAAGGCTTGGCCCTGCAGGCAGCACTGACCTCCCTGGGAGTGACACCAGCCCAGCCACAAGCCTCCCTAGCGCTCCCCACACCTTGCTTGGCCTCAGGCCGCCACAGAGTGAGTACCTGACAGTCACGCGGGGGTCGTGGGTCACGCCACACACCATGGAGGCCTGGGTGCCCTTGATGACGCTCTGGTCCTGGGGAGGCCTGGTGATGCGGGTCCGGGCTGGAAGACAGCGAGACGGTGGAGTCAGAAGGGCCGGGGGCTCCAGACCCCCAGGTGTGATGCAGGCATAGGGGGAGGGATGTCTGGGGTGACTCGGGCCCCAGGGCTGACTCTGGGCAGAGGCAGACCTGGAATGGGGACAGGTTTCCCCAGGACGGTGAAAAAGAGCAGCCAGTCCCCTGCACCTTAATTCCTGAAAACCGCATTCCTGGTGGGGCTCATTTAACAGTACTTGCATGAGTCCAAGTCACAGACAATCTCAGGGCGGTAGGGCCAGGCAGGGGTGACTGTCCCGCCAAGGGAGACATCGGGTCTTCTGATTCCCAGTCCAGGGCTCCACCCGCCAGGGCCCCCGGCTCAGCCCAGGTGGGTGTGTTTAGGGTGTGGGACCCAAGGTGGAAGCAGCTGGAGACGGTCCCTTGGAGCCAGGGTCCGGTTTACATACTTCCTGGAACCTGGCCACGCCCACTGGATGGCATCTGTCTGTGGTTGCCTTCTCGGCACAACAGAAGTCAGCTGAGTTGTGGTGACAGAGACCGTCTGGCCCACAAAACCCAAAATATTTATGATCTGGCCTGTGCTACAAAAGTCTGCCAATTTCTGCCCTAAAATATCTGAAGACGGCGCTCCCATATCCTGCACGTTCTCTGACTTGGTCAAGCATGGCAGAGCCGGCCCTCACGTGGCACCACTGGCAGAGGCTTCACTGCTGCGTCCCCGGCCTCTGAATTAGTTTGTCACTGTCCCTCTGATAGGAAGGGCCTTGACCAGGACAGACACACGGTGGGAAGAAGCTGGCGGTATGAGCGAGTGCTCCACAAGTGTCCTGGGTCCTCAGCACCTGTAGGGACGTGCAAGCACACATGCACACACACGCACAGACATGTAAAATCGTCCTGCTCTGTGCACTCACCCCAAACCACCAGGTCGGCAGAGGCCTCGTCGACGCCCCGCGAGTTGGTGGCCAGGCAGGTGTAGGTGCCCGCGTCGGAGATATGCGTAGGGCTGATGAGCAGGCTACCCGACTCCAGGGGCGTGAAGCGTGGTAGTTGCACGGAGCCGCTGGCCAGGATGCGCTCCCCTAGGGGCGACACGCGTGGGCTCAGCCTGAAGTCCATGGCATGCCTGCCCTCCCCAGTGGCCCCAGGGCAGGAGAGCCCTGCTCGGTCCTGAAAATGCTAAGGGGTGGGGGGCTGGGGTGGTGGCAGCGGGGCGAGGACAGGGACGAAGCCGGAGAGCCTCCGGATGGGCGATGGCTCAAGGGCGTGTGGTCACAGGGCTGCAGCCTCAGCCCGGCACGGGTACTCTCGCGCCTGCCCGCTGCCTGTCCTTCACCCGAGGGCAGCACACTAGCTCTTGATGGCGGGAGCGGCAGCCTGGCACGGCCCTGGAGGCGGCTGGCACCTGGGCCGGGGGGGGAGGGGGACGTGGCGGCGGCTCTGACAAGGTGACCACGGCATCACGCAGCGGGATGCTTCTGGGAGTCACCTTCAAGGGAGGGAAGAGAGGATGGGAGCAGAGGGAGGTAGGGGTGGGGATAGGGGAGTCCCTGCCGACAGCTCTAGTTGGGACAGGCCTCCTTCTGCAGGGGGACAGGGGGGGCCTGGTGCCTGGCCTGGGAGGGTCCTGGGCAGAGAGAGAAAAAGGGGTAGGGATAGGGGTGAGGGGGGGAGAGAGAGACAGAGAGAAAGAGAGACAGACAGAGAATACAACAGATATGAGGGGTAGACAGAGAAAAGGAGAGAGGGATATGGGGGGGGAGAGAGAGAGAGAGAACAGAGGGGATACAGAGAAAGAGGGACACCGGGTGGGGGGAGAGAGAGAGCAAGCCTGCGCATGCAAGAATGAGCTGGAGAGGGTGGGGGTGTCATGACTCTGTCTCTTTTAAAGACCGTCCCCCTCTCTATGCAGAGGGAAGCCTGTGTGTGAGTCAGGGGTCACGTGAGCCCACGTGTACACTGTCCAGGCACCATGAGCTCGTGGTGTGCTTGTCCCCAAGTCTGGGTGCACGTCTGAGTGTGCCTGCACTATTTCCACAGACGTTTTCTGAGCACCTACTGCGTGCCACACCCTGCTCTGGGCCCTGGCAGACAGCAGCAGACGACGCCAGGACCCCGGGCATGGTGGGAAGGCAAGCAGCGAACGAGACGACCGGGATATGAGGAGGTGGGAGGTGAGGCGGGGAAGGGGTGTGGGGGGCGAGGCCACGAGTCCTGGGGAGAAGGCCCGAGTGAGCAGGGCCTGCGGGTGTGCGGGAGCGACTGTGTGTGTGTGTGTGTGGACACGCAGACAGCGATGAAAGTCAGGGTGTGGGCTCAGAGGGGGCATGGACACACGCGGGGTGGAGGGATGAGGTCCGCGGCTTGGGCTCTGCTGGCCGCGCCGCCTGGAGCCCTCCGAGCAGCCATGGGAGGAGGATGGCCTTCTACCTCATGACAATGGCCACCACCAGCACAGTACGAGTGACCAGACGCCAACATCATGGCTTCCCCACTTCCCAGGACCAATCAGGCCCCTCCCACACATGCTCCCATCTAGCCTTGACATCACCCTGCGGTCTGTGGACACTGAGGCCTAGAGTCATAACGCATCCGAGGTCACAGGTCCTGGAAGAGGCAGAGCTGGGCCTTGAGCCCGGCAAGGTGGCACTGAGTGCGTGGAGTGATGTGAAAAATGCTCCCTTGGGGGGGTGCGGTGCACGGCCTTTGCAACCGTACCCGGGGAACCCAGCCTAGCGGGCTCCAGCACCTCGTTCTGCAGACTGTCCTGGGCTGTCGCGTGCCACACCCTCTGAAGGTCCAGCCCATCTACCTTTCTGCCATGTGATAGCCGGCCGCGGTGCTCCTGAGGTCTCACACGCCAGCACCACGGACATGCCATCGATCACCGTGCTGTCCAGTGGGCCCCTGGTGATGTTGGGAGCGATGCCTGCAAACAGACACAGTGGGGCCTCTTAGCCACACGCTGGGAGAAGCCCCCCTGCCAGGGTTCTCTGAGCCCCAAAGAGCCAGGTCCTCTTCCCCCCTGCTGCAGGCTGGGGCCCTCTGCAGGGAAGGGTGCAGGTGTCCTGACGGGGTCCCAATGCTGGGAAGAAGGCGGAGGGCCCATGAGGGCTCCCCTTGGCCCCTGCCCGGTGGAAGGGCCCGGGGACACTCATCCTCCCCGCTTCGATCCTCAGGACCCCAGAACAGTGTGCATCCCCTGTGACAGGCAGATGGGACTTGCCCCCGAACTGCCCATGAAACGAGGCTCTGGCTTCTTAAAAGATCACCCACAGTCTAAGACGCCCACCCGAGCGCGCCCTTCAGCCTGGCTGCGCTGGGCTCTTCAGATGTCGGCTGGCTTCCTGGTCCTGCTCCCCCAGGGAGGCTCTCGGGGAGGGACCGGGAGCAGAGAGAAACACCGACCAAATTCACCTGCACTTGGAAGCCAGAAGCAAGACAGCAGCCCCTGGGTGTCACCTCCGGGGCACACCCAGTCCCTCTGCCCATGGCTGCTGGGTCTGGGGCCTCTGTGGGCCTGGGCGGTGAACCCTGTGGGGCCCAAGGAGCGCCCTGCACACCCTGTGTGGCTGACGTGAAGACCACCAGCACGTATCCGATGGGCATGGCCGCCGGCAGTGTTGTCTCTGGTTGCTAACAGCAGAGACTCCAAGAGCGGAAAGGGGCTTAAGGGGGCGGCCCGAGAAGGAAGTACTGGTTCTCTCCTTCGAAAACATGAGCAGGTCCTCTGGCCTGGGATGGGGTCACTTCATTCCCGCCCGGAACCCAGGGACAGGTGAAATGGCAGAGCGGGAAACTGGTTTCACACCTCCCCTGGTTCTCAAAGAGCCGAAGAACCCATCCTAGGACACCGGGGCGAGCTTCCAGGGGCCGGGGACTTCCTCCGGGGCTCAGGACTCAGGACTGCAGGAGCTGCAGGCATCATCAGCTGGCGCCCTCAGGCTGCCGTGCCAGGGACAGTCTTGGGGACCCCGCCTCCACTGAGGGGCGTGCCATTGTCCTCCTGGGCTTGGAGGAAAGCTGTGTCCTGGGCTGGACAGGCGCAGGGGTGGGACAGGGAGGCCCCACTTACTGGTGACGGCCAGATAGGTGGAGGTCTGCACCTCGCCGGCGGCGTTTCGGGCGAAGCACTGGAACATGCCGGTGTCGTCGGGCACCAGGCCGCTGATCTGCAGGCCCCCATCGCCGCGCTGCCGGAAGCGGGCCAGCTTCTCCACCCCCACCAGGGCCGCATCCTTGTACCAGGTGATGGAGGGCGGGGGCACGCCTGGGGGGACACAGAACGCATCAGCCTCCTGCTGCCTCCTTTGCAGCCTTGCCTGGGAGGGGGCTCGGAGGCAGGGGAGGGCGTCCCTGGTGTGTCTTGGACTCTAGAACCTTCTCAGAGGTGCCGCTTTGGGGGGGGAGGCAGGGATTCTCAACGTCTTTGGGATACAGTAAAGATCCTGGTGTCTGTTTAGCAAGAACCATTGCTTATCCTTTACCGCAATATTAGGCAGAACTTTTTTGTGCTGTGGGATGGTTTCCCAAGACTACTTGACCATAGTGCCCTGTGTCAAAGAGTATGCAGAGGTGCAGAGGACGCCTGATCCCTGGGAGGCACCCGGTAACCTCCACCCATACCTGGTCTGCACATGGAGGCAAATGGGGGCTCCCCTGGACCCCCAGCCTGGCATTCTGTCCTTAGACATATTCCCCAGCCCTTCCTCCTCAGTCTCTCCGGGTGTCTGCTCAAAAGTACTTTCCAGTCCCGGCAGCATAGCAAGACCCCGTTTCTACATCAAAATATGAAGGAATTACCGTGGGTTCGAGACCTGCCTGGGCAACTCGGCGAGACCTCACCTCTACAATAAATCAAAAATCAGCCGGGCGTGGTAGCGCGCACCTATAGTTCCAGCTACTTGGAAGGCTGAGGCGGAAGGATCGCCGGAGCCCAGTGGGTCAAGGCTGCGGTGGCCGGGAGCGGCCACTGCAATCTAGTCTGGGCGATGGAGTGAAACTCCAACGCCAAAAAAAAAAAGAAGGAATTCACCGTGCATGGTAGCATGCACCTGTGGTCCCAGCTTCTCAGGAGGCTGAGGTAGGAAGACTGCCTGAGCCCAGGAGTTCCAGGCTGCAGTGCTCTGTGATTGTGCCACTACACTTCAGACTGGGTGACAAAGGGAGGCCGTCTCTCTCAAAAACAGTGACTTCCCCAGATAAGTTGGCCACACTGTCACAGGGAGCACCATGGGCTCCGCCCCTGAGCCCGCCCGCCTCCCTCCCTCCCCAGCTGTCTCCCGCCCTGGCAGCCTGTGATGCTGTATCTCATCCCCACTGCGACATCTCTGAGATCGGGATGTGTCTTATAATCGACAGCATGTCATAATTTAATTGGCAGCCTTTTTTCTTTCTTAGTGGTACATAAAATAATGACGCGTCTTACAACCCGTGGCGTTTCAGATGAGAAGAAATACGGTCCCTTTATTTGTTTATTGGCAGGCCCCTCTCCCTGCCGAGGATGCAAGTTCTGCACTAGCAGGGATTTGGCTATCGGGTTTCTTCTGTGCCCACCCACCCCTGGGGATAGTATCGGCACATAGGAAGCCAACAAAAAATATCTGTGGCCGGTTTGGACAGATCGCCGTGTTTCCCATGTGAGACTGGGGGGGAGGGGTGTCCTTACTCACGCCCCTCTGCCAAACCTCTCTCCTGAGAGCTACGTTTTGCCCTCTGCCCAAGGACCCCAGGGTGCTGATTCTTCCTTCTCTGTCATCGGGATTTCACCCTGACTGCAGCTGGCTGCTGGCTCAGCCTAAGCCAGGGGAGGGAAGGTGGGGACGGGAGAAGCAGAAATCCCTCCCTCTGGGGTTCTGACAAGGGGGGTTAAGGAGGAAGAGGGGACGGAGGAGATGGGGCAAAATGGCCCAGAAAACAGGACGAGCTTGTGAGACGCATCTCAGGCGAGACATGCCCAAGGCGCGCCGCTACTGACATTACGGTAATTCGGCATTGTCTGCAACTCTCAAATTATGGGCAATTTGGATCTGTCACCTGTCCTGAAATTACGGTAATTTGGGCTCATTTGTAACCCCCGAGTTATGGTCCCGTCAGGGGTTGATTTCCAGCCCGAGATGACGGCAATTTGGCCTGTTGGTCTCCTGGGGTGCCAGCGCACAGCCGGCCAGACTCTACTCAGCGATGTGCCCTTGAGAGAGGCGGGGCCTAGGAATATCTGGGCCGGAGGCCTCTCCCGCGGGCCTGGGGTCCTGGTCCCACTCCGTGCACGCAGCCGCCGTGTTACCTTTGGCCCGACAGGGGATGTCCACCACTTTCTCCATCTCTGCTGTGATGTGTCTCTCTGGCTCCTTGACGAACTGAGGCGGCTCTGAAGAGGGAATCAGAGCCGTCAGAGTCACGCTCCTGCGGATCCAGCCCCGGTCGGGGCCGGGGCCGGGGGGCTCAAGTGGGTTCCTCAGGGGAGCCCCAGGGGTCCGCCCCCTCACCCAGCACGGAGAGGTAGGCGCCCCGGACCACGGCAGGGACGCTGCTGCTGCGCAGAACGGCCTCGCACTCGTAGTAGCCGGCATCGCCCGCCATGGGGTTGGGGATGGTGAGCCGGCGGTTGTGGTCGCTGACGCCGCCTGACAGCACCACGCCGTCCTTCTTCCAGATGATGTGCAGCTTGATCAAGGGCCTGGGGCGGGGGGCAAAACCTTGTTCAGCCACAAGGGCTTCTGGAGGCAGGGAGGGGGTGGTGAGGAGGGTGGGCTTGGGCGGCCGGGCTGCCTGGGCCTGCCTGGGCCTGCCCACCCCCTGCCACTTTCTGGACGTGAGATCTCAGGCAGGTCCCTTCTTTGCTCTGGGCCTGGGTTTTCTCATCTGTAAAACAGGAACAACTAGTGCAAGCAATGCGCTTGGCCCGAGGCCCGGAGACGGGGTGATAGCTCAGGGTGCAGCAGCTCTAGGGAAGCAGAGAGCAGCCTGGCCTCACATTGCTCTCTTCCGATGCACCCGAGTGCTGTCTCCAACCAACCACCGACCAGTGACCCTGGGGGAGTCGAGGGTGAGGGGAAGCCACCAGGAGAAATGTGACGTACCCAAGGTTTGGAAAGGGGACACAGGCAGACAGACAACCCCCCAACTGCAAGAAACCAGGCCCCTTCTCCACCATCACTGATTCCTGCACTCCCAGACCCCGAGGCTTAGCAGGCCTGGGTCGTGCCCGGATGTCCCTGAGGACAGCGCTTTCCCGGGGGGATCCATACTGTCTCCACGGGGCCCTCGGGGGGGGGTCCCACAGAAAAGGAGCTCTTGATCGCATATATTGGGGGCACCCTGGCTTGAATGAAGGAGGGCATGTTCCCCACCGCGGGCCTCCTCAGGGCCTCCAGAGTGTCCAGTGACTCCGTGGGGGCCTTTCCCACACTTTGGAGAAACGTGGGATCTGAGGAGCATGCTTTTAGAAACGCTGTCCCAGGGACGTGCTCTCCAGGGATCTTCAACTCAGGGGGCCCTCGGGGTCACGGTCGAACTCCCCGCCCAGCACATCGGCTTAACTTGGTGGAGCACTTGCGGGGTGTCAGGGCAGGCGGTGCCCAGACCATTCCCAATGTATGCATGAGGAGCCTGAGGCCCAGAGCGTGGCAGTGAGCACAGGCCTCTGGGGTGGCCAGTTGCATTTGAATTCTATCCGCCAGCCGGATGATGTCAGGCAGGTTGCTTGCCCTCTGTGGGCTTGGGGTGGTGACACCCGTGCCACGGGGTGGCCGTGGGGTCGTATGGGAAGGCACTTAGCACAGTGTCCACATATAATGAGACTCAGGGCTTCTGCCACTGTTCCCCATGAGGGAGAAGTGAGGGCCGCACACGTCCAGGAAGGGGCCCCAGTGCCCTCTGCAGAGCCCACACCCTCAGCCACCATCGGAGTGGTCCCTGCACTGTGGCCCTCCTGCACGTCCTGCAAGTCAGTGGCTCTGCCTCAGAGGCACCCTGCTCCCCTCTGGGCTGCTCCATGTTTTGGAGGCCCCCTGGGGTCCTGGACGTCCCTGGCTGACCTCCCCATCCAGGGAATCATCCAGCATATGCTCTTCTTGAGCTGCAGAGAAAGAGCTGGCCCTGCCCGTGCATGGAAACCCTCCAACGGCAGCTGGCGAGTCCCCGGCCCCCTCCTCGGGAACCCTCGCATGACACAGCTCCAGTCACTCTCCTCGGAGCAGGAGAGATACGGAGAGGTGCCACCCACCTGGCGTTGGCCACACACTCCATGGTCACCTCTGAGGTCCCGGCCACCACACTGGTGTTCTTGGGAGGGATGATGATGGTGGGTGCGATGGGGTCTGCGGGCCCCCCTACATCTGGGGAGAGGTCAGAAGTTAGCTGGAGGCAGAGGCTGGAAATCCCATCCCTGTCTGGGCCGTGGGTGATGCCATGATAGACTTCTGTCCTCATGCAGTGGAGCAGGTGGTCACGGGGGCAGCCCCGGGGCTGACCCCAAGACTATCTGATTCCTCCTCTTCCTCTGCTGATGCGTCACCACACTGGTGTCCAGGAAAAGCCCACTGGAGACTTTCTTTTTTTTTGAGTCGGGGTCTCACTCTGTCACCCAGGCTGGAGAGCAGTGGCAGGATCACGGCTCATGGCAGCCTCGACCTGGGCTCAGGCGATCCTTCTGCCTCAGTCTCCTGAGTAGCTGGGACTACAGGTGTGCACCACCATGCTCTGCTACCTTTTTTTTTTTTTGGTACAGATTCACTATGTTGCCCAGGCTGGCCTCGAACCCCTGGCCTCAAGCAATCTGCCTGTCTTGGTCTCCCAGAGTGCTGGGATTACAAGTGTGAGCCACCGCGCCTGACCACCCACCTGAGACTGACGGCTTTCCTCACTCCTATAATGCCACCACGCCCTCCCTCCCTGTTCCATTCCCTTTGAAATCCTTCCCTCTGCCTGGGTTGACCTGGTCCCCCGTCCGCGTCCTCCACCAGAACTCTCTGTACTGGGTGGAATAATACTCCTCCAAATTCATGCCCACCCAGCAGCTGCAAACGTAAGCTTATTTGAAAATAAGGTCAATAAGGGGGGAGGTGGGAAGGAGGGACTCAGCTTCAGAAATTACCTATTTGGTACAGTGTCCACTATTGGGGAACGGGCCACCGGAGACCCAATCCCCACCACTACATGGCATGTCAGTGTGATGAGCTGCAATGTGTATTCCCTGAATCTAAAATAAAAATGGGGAAAAAACCCAAAAGAAAATAAGGATGTTGCAGATGTGATGAGTTAAGGTGAAGCCATGCTGAGGAGGTGGATTCTAGGTCCAGTACAACTGGGGTCCTTCTACGGAGAGGGACACTGAGACACAGAGGCAGGAAGGCCTTGTGAAGACAGAGGCCAAGAGTGGAATGAAACCAAGAAGCCAGCTGGGAGGCTGGGAGTGGCAGGAAGATCCTCCCCTAGAGGTTCCCTGGCCTTCAGACCTCTGGCCTCCAGAGCTGGGCTTACTGAGCAGCCCAGTTGGTGGTGGCCGCGGGAGCCTGATACAGCCCTGGAGGCAGGAGCCTCGTGGGTCTTTGCTGTGGACTGAACCGTGTGCCTCACCAATTCGTATGGTGAAGTCCTGACATCCAGTGAGACGGTGTTTGGAGGCCTGGCATTGGGGAAGTCAATGGAATGAGATGAGGCCACGCGAGTGGGTCCCTGTGATGGAGTTAGTGTCCTCACAAGAACCCAGAACGCCCAGCCTCTCTGCCACAGGAGAATACTGTGAGCAGGCAAGCCAGGAAGACAGCCCGGCCATGCTGGCGCCTGACTTTGGCCTTCCAGAGCTGTGAGGACACCAGTGTCTGCGGCTGAAGCCCCAGCCTGTGGTGCTTAGCTAGGCAGCCTGAGCTGATCCACAGTCTTGCTGACCACACCAAGACCGATGCCCGGCACACACAGAGCCTCGAACACATGTATGAAGTGAATGAATGAATGGAGCTGCTGCTCTCATCATGCAGCTCCCAGGGTCCCTGAGTGAAATCAACAAGCACTTCCCTCCAGTGGGTTTGTCCTTTGAGTTGGAGTCTGACTCTGTTGCCCGGGCTGGAGTGCAAGGCTGGCCAACAGAGTAGGACTCACTGTGGCCTCCACCTCTTGGGTTCAAGTGTTCCTCTTGTCTCAACCACCCAAAGTGCTGGGCTGCTGGGATTATAGGCATGAGCAACCACACCCGGCCCCACAAGTGGGTTTTATTGGGAAAAAAAAAGAAACACCTGAAACTCTTCTAATAGAGATGGTAGCATCTCTCTCTCTCTCTCTCTCTCTCTCTCTCTCTCTGTGTGTGTGTGTGTGTGTGTGTGTGTGTGCTGGGACCTCACTCTGTTGCCCAGGCTTGAGTGCAGTGGGACGATCACAGCTCATTGCAGCCTCTATCTACCTCCTGGGCTCAGATGATCCTTCTACCTCAGTCTCCCGAGTAGCTAGGACGATACAATGCCTGGCTATTTTTTTTTTTTTTTTGTAGAGATGAGGTCTGGCTATGTTGCCAGGCTGGTCTTGAACTCCTGGGCTCAAGCAATCCTCCCGCCTCAGCCTCCAAAGTGCTGGGATTGCAGATGTGAGCCACCGCATCCAGTTGGCATTTCCTCTTTTATTTTTTTGAATTCTTTAAGAAGTGGCCAGGTTTTTATCTCAGCGGGTCAGGGTAGGTCCAATATTGGCAGAGACTCCAGTATTCTCTGTACACCTGCTCCACAGCTTCTGAAAATACAGCCTCCGAGGATTTTTTTCTCTCCTGACAAATCTATCCAGTTGGCGCCTTTCCAGAGTGTTCTGGAGGTAGCAGGCCACGATGCCATGCAGGGCCCTGGGGTGACAGGGACAGGACATTCTTTATGGAGCCGGGGGAGGGCGCACGGTGGCCCCACTGCCCCTCTGGGCCACCCTGGTCAGCCTCGGGCAGGTTTCCCTACCTTGGCTCCAGACCTTGCTAGAAAAGGCCTGGGAAGAATGGAAATAAAATGTAAAAAATAAAGCAAAATGAAGGGGGAAAGAAAGGCAGCGTATAAAGCAAAATAATTGCAACAATATAAAAACCTCGTGTAGGTGCCATAAAGAGCGATCGGATTGAAAGCTGCTGATATGACTGAATCCATAAAAGTGTGCTCTAAGTTGTTTATTACATGCGGGGGCGCACAGGTATCATGGCCCAGATTAATGGGGCACAAGAAGCAGACAGACCGTTGGAGCCCGAGTCAGGGCACTGCGTGGCGCAGCCGGATAAAGGGAGGAGCCCCTGGGAAGGCGAGCGCCTGGTATGGGAACGCGAGGCCAGTGCGAGGGCTCAGGCTGCCCCTGGAGGGACACGGTGTGCACGCCCCAGCCTCGGCGGTGGCCTACAGATCCCGAGGGGGCCCGCCGAGGCCCGGTGGCGGGTGCGGGGGGCTAGGAAGGCCTGAGTTCAGGCATCCTCGTTACTTCCTTCCGTCTTCTCAGTGGCAAAATGGGTGTAAGAATTGTGACCTCTTAGGGTTATGTGAATTCAGCCCCCAGGTGGACACATCTTTCCTGGGTGATGCTTGGTACATGCCAGACTGTGCACCGGGCACAGAGATTCCCCACTGAGCAAGATGATCAGGTCTGCCCTCAGGGAGGGTGTGGTCTGGGAGGAAGTCAGATCAGTGACGGTGTGGACTGGGAGGGTGTGGACTGGGAGGGTGTGGGCGGTGTGGACTGGGAGGGTGTGGACTGGGAGGAAGTCAGATCAGTGACCAGTTTGGTAGCCCCCACCTGGTCTGGGGTGTGCCTGGCACCCAGTAGGCGCACAATAAATGAGTCTCCCCTCCTGTGATTGTCTGCCTATGCCCCACCCCCAGACCAACGGATGGACCCAGGGGTTGCTGGGAGGTGAGAGTCACAGACCTTGTGGGCAGGACGGAGGGAGAGAGCACGTATGTGGAGCCCTGCAGGACACCAGGCACAGCTTCAAGCACTTCTTGGGGCTGGGGTGGTGGGTGGCTTCACGGGAGATGGAGAAACTTGAAGGGGACTCAGAGAAGGGAGAGGAGGAAGGACATTTTGGAATGAGAGCACTGTGTGAACGGGGGTGTGAATGCAATGCCAGCTGGCCCTCATAGCACTAGGATAGGGGAGTGTATCCACAGAGCAGAGGTGACAGTCCTGGACATGCTGTCCCTTTCCCGGTCACTCCCCTTTGCCTTCCAGAGAAAGTGCTGCTTAGTTAACGGCACTTTTTCTGGCTGAGCCCAGATGTGTCCTCAGAATCTTTCCTAACACAGTGCAACCAATACACCAGAGTTGGCATGGGAGACGAAACCCACTTTCCACTGGGAGTGGTTAGATCAAGGCCAGATCCCTGAGAATTTTGAGCCTGCCACTGGGCTGGAAGTTGGCCCTGGGTGGGTGCAGTGGACAAGGAGGGGATCAGACGGGCAGACGAGATCAAGAGGGTGAGGAACCATCTCAGATAGAGGAAGACACAGGGTGGTGGCCGTTTGGAGACCGAATGCCTACAGATGGGGTCTCCTTTGGGGGAAAGGGGAGTCCGGGGGAACTGGCTTTCCAAAAGGGAGGCAAATTTTGATTTTGTCATGCCGTTTGAGACAGTGGTGGGATGTCCGAATGGAGATGTCCAGAGACGTGAGGCAGGGGCCCCATCGGGGACGGGGACCCACGGCTGTTTGTGGGGTCGCGCTAGGTGGAAGCAGAAGACTGGCGAGATCAGGGGAGCCAGGGGTTGAGAATTAGAAGGGGCCTGTTTACTTTGGTGGGGAGAAAGGAGTGGTGATGGCAGAGAGGACCTGGGGTGCAGGGATAAGTGGATGGCTCTGAAGTTGGAGGGGGGGGCGCCGGAGGCGGCGCCCGTGGCTCGTGGAAGCCCTGGGCATCGGGACTGGGGTGGTGAGGGGGAGGAGCTGACCAGGTTGGGAGAGGAGGTGCAACGAGATCGGCCGTCCTCCTGGTGTGGACGAGGGCTTAGCCCTACTCGGACCGAGCCCCAAGACGCCACGGGCAGGGGCTTTCGGGGCAGCCCTGCAGCCTGGGAAGCCTGGGACCCTTCCTGGCTTCACCAGTTCCTGGCGAGCCCCACTGAGTGGACAGGGCCCTCTCTGGGGCCCTGTCTCCTCAGCTTTCTTCCTGTGAGCGGTGGAGGGTGCTATCCTGACCACCTGCTGATGACGGCTGTGTAGCTGAGCTGGGTGAGCTCAGCGCAAGCCCAGACAGTGCCCAGCACGCAGGAGCTACTGGCGTGACGTGGAGGCAGGTGGGACAGTTGGGGTGGGAGGAGGATGTCAGAGACAGGCAGCAGGGACTCACCCTCAGCAGGACAGGCCCTGGGGACAGTACTCTGCTGGGAAGTGTTGTGCTATGTCGTCTCTTGCCCTCTCCGAGACTCCCCGGTGACCAGCCACGGTCAGGGCACAGCCTGACCAGGCTCAGGCACCAAACGCAAGGACATGTGTCTCCGGACAGAGGCTTAAGCAGGGACAGCCCTCTAAGCTGGAAGGGACGGCAGGTCCAGAAGACACAGTCTTCAGCCTGGGGAACGCTTCTCAATACCTAGCTCATGCCTGTAGGGGTCTCCAAGGACTCGCAGTCCCCACCAGCGCCTGCTGTGAGCGGGGACGGAGACCCGGGGCCTGGGAGAGGGTCACGCAGCCTGGAGTGGCTCAGCCGCTCCCTGCTATGGCTGGTCCTGGAGCAGATTTACCGAAGGTAAAGATCGCTCCAGTCCGAGTGGGATATTGGGGTGAGTGGGACCCCAAAGCTCAAGCTGTGAAAAGCCCAGGTGAGTCCAAGAAAGAGGATGGCGTCTTCCACGTGAGCTCCTGCCACGGGGGGCCTAGGGAGGGACGCTTTGCGTAACATCCACGACAAGGGACATCTCCCATGATCCATTCTCTGGAATCATCTCATTTAATCCTCAACTTTGCCAAAGGCATCGCTTTAACAGAAGGGGAAACTGAGGTTCAGGGCCCACGTGACTCCCCTGGGCCACAGGTCCCCTCTCCCGGGCAGGCTGCCAGGACGCTTCTTCAGCTCCCAGGAGCTGAGCCACCTAGGCTGTGACCCGAGCCACCCAACACAGGGCCGCTAGCCACATGTGCCTGTGTGAGCTCGTGAAATGTGGTGGGGACCCTTTGATTTAGTGTGATTTAATTTGAGCTAATTTACATTTAATTAAGAACGGATTCCCCAATTCAGTTATTAGAACACTTTTAAGTATGTGCGGAACAACTTGCGCGGACAACGCCACCCTTTCAGTTATAAATTTGATGAGATCTGAACACAGATCACGTATTTCGGATGAAAATTTAACATCCGGATTGAGGTCTCTTGTTAAGCTTAAGGATTTCAGAGACTCAGTCTGCAAACACACACACACACACACACACACACACACACACACACACACACACACAATGTAAGATATCCCGGGAATATTTTTTACATTGATTGTATGTTGACTGTATGGTTACGTTGGGTGAGAGAAAAATACATGAATAAAATTAAGGTCAACTGTTACTTTCAACTTCGTAAAAAATCGGGCTGGCGGAAAAATGTAAGTCCCTTATGAGGCCCACATTCGATTTCTACGGGACAGTGCAGCACTGATCCCAGGTGGGGTCACCACCGGTATGGCGTTTCCAGGAGCTGGGATAGTCAGGGTGACGTCACCAGGGCTACCCCAAGCTGCGGGCAACTCCCGGGCTCACCGAGCTCGCGCTCTGCTTCTCCACTTCTGAAGAGCACGGACTCCCATATAGAATCCCAGGAGGCCAGGGGCTCCCGGGGCTCAGGGGGAATGAAGGAAGAGGTGCTGGGGGCGGGGTGAGGCTCAGTGGGGGACTGAGGGGAGCTGGCACTAGTGGTGGGCAAAGCGGCAGTCGCTCCCCACAAATTGGCCGGCAGGCAGGCTGGGGATTTGTGTCAGGAAGAGGAGCAGGGTTTTGAAGTGCAGTCACTCGTGGGAAGAGAAATTAGCAAAAAATCAGCAGAATCTGCTCTCAATTCAGTACAAATCATCGCATGACAGCAGGAGCCAAGGGGCGATGGGGTGGGAGAAGCAGACAAGGGGGTGAGGGGGTGAGGACTGGGTGAACAGAGGGACCAGGGAGGCCCTGCCGGAGGGTGGAGGTGGTTTGAGATGGAGCAGAGAGAGAACAACGCCAGTCAGCCAGGAGCGCGGACCTGGATGCCGGAAGAGCCAAGAGGAAGGCCCCGACGTTGGGCCTCAGGGTAAACTGAGTCACCGAGGAAGATGTCTGCCTTTGACTAGAGCTATGATCGCCTCCCACATCTTCGACATTGCTTCTTACCAAATACTGGATTCCATGAGACCCCAGGAAATCTGATTACTGGAAAATATTTGAGGAAACACACCTCCCTCTGATGATTAAATTCTTTTTTCCTATAGAAACTGCAGCCCCAGGTCACGGCTGGGCCCGGCTGCTGGGACTTGACTGAGACCCGGGCCCAGGTCAATGGCAGCAGTTACACCCACCACCCTGACGGAATGAAACTCTTTCATTGAAAATAAAAATTTCAGTGAAACTCTTTCACCCTCCAGAATGAAACTCTCCTCCTTGCGTCCAGATTTCCTTCTAGGTGGACTGAAGCCTGGGTGGGAAAGGGATCCCTGGGATAATGAGAAGGGTCTGCTGGGGTGTGAAATCCCCAGGCATGTTCTGGCGCTCCTGGGCACCGACAGACAGAGGCCTGGAACAGAGGCAGGGGCAGGAAGCCTCAGGCTGGCGCGCACCCTCATCTGCTGACTGGTGGGTGTGTACCAGCGTGGCCATAGATGATAAATGAGACTTTCTTTGGAAGCAGGAGTTGTGCAGATGTGGAGGGATGTGAACATCTGTCTCCCTCTGCTCGTGCGGCAGCTCAGCTGCTGTGGGAAGCTCTGGTCTTGCCCCGTGTACCCTGGGATTCCCAGCCTTGGCCGCCTCCCGGGCCACCCGACCCCTCTTCTCTGAGCTGGGAAGGAGCATGACGGGAGGTGGCAGGGAGGACAACCCAGCATCTCATCCCTGCCAGGAAACCTGGCTTCAGTCTTGGTTGGACAAACGCTCCTTTGCCAAAGCACCCTTTTAAGGGAAGAGTCACTCTCTGAGGTGCATCTCACTGTGCAGTGACTTCTGGGGAGAGTTCGGCCTCTCTCTCCCAGGAGTTGGGGATGTCTGAGTAGGGGGAGATGGACCCTCGCAGGTGGGATCCTGGGCAGAAGGCCTGTGCTCTCATCAGTGGGGACCGCCTGGCTCCAAGGAGAGACAGTGCTTTGAACGTGCCAGCTGAGGAGAAGCAGTTAGTATGTTTCTTTAAAAACAAGCTTCCAGTCTCCCCATCACCCTGCGTGCTTTCTGGGCCTGACTCCCGAGAGGGTTGCAATCCATGCACTTTCTCGCTCTGCCCACCCCTTCCCTGGGCCCCCAGCGGCCCTGCATACAGTCGTGCTAAGCGTCCCCTCTCCCGACGCAGGACCTCAGATGTGTCGTGGGAACGGGGGTCCAGCCCTCAGCTCACCCTTGTCTGCCAGCATGCCCACCCAGCTGAGCCACCTCCTCTCTGCCATCCCTCGGCCTCCCGCCCCCTCCCCGGCCACTCCATCTTCCCAGTGACCCCCTGGAGCACCATTCCCAAGATTTAATGACCAGCTCCCCCGTCGGGCACAGGCCTTACTGCTCACTTACTCTCCACGGCGAGAGTGATGGGCTGGCTGGTCTTGTTATCCCCGTTCTTGTCATTAACAGCCTGCACGTAGTAGCGGCCCGCGTCAGGAGCCACCGTTGACAGGATGACAAGGGTGTTCTCCAGCGTGATGGCTCTGTGAAGAGGAGATGGATTCCTCTGACAGGGGCCCGAGGGGCTCTGAGCCCCTGGGGAGCAGGAGTGGGGACCGAGGCGGGCGGCCCGACGGTGCCTCCGGGTCCTCATCCTCCTGGAGCCCTTCCCACCCATCTGCCCGGCCACTTACTGCCCACACCCTGCCACGTTCAGTTAGCAGAGAATCCCAACACGGTGCTGGTGCTGTCAACCAGACCCAAGGATTGCACAGGAAGCTATCCCGCCCCCCACCCCCAGGCTAGGCAAGGGGCCTTCCATGCCCCCCTGGGAATTCTGGCTGTGTGTGGTTATCTCTGCTTCATGAGCGTCCAGACACGGAAGAAATGTTCACAGGACGAATGAGTGAATGACGATGAATGAGTGAATGGTCATGAGTTTAGAAGTGAGAAGGGGCACTCCGGAACGGGTGGCTTTGCCCTGCTCCTACATTTGTTTAGATGGATTTGAAGGCCACGGGCCTCCTGTAACAGACTTTTGGGGTCCTGTCTCCCCGCACTCCCCTCTCTGTGGATCTGTGTCCACCTCCCTGAAGCTCATCACCCGGCTAGGCTGGGTCAGAGGGGCACGGAGGCGGTGCCCCTGCCCTCTCCCCAGGGGCCCTGTCACACAGTCCCTCGGCTGGCCCGGCACCAGCAGGGAAAAAGGGCCTGTCCAAGTGGGAAGCTGGGAGCCCCATGGAAACGTGGGTGCCACGGAGCCAGGAGCACCGCCCACATGGCTCTGCCGGTCCCCTCCCTCCTCCCATTCTCCCGATGACAAACAAAACCATTAGTTTGTCAAGTCTATCTCCGGGTTTTAATGTGATGTGCCCGAGACAGCTGTTAAACATCCTTAATGTTAGTTTAACAAGGACAAATCCAGTTGAATTCTTTTCAAAATTTCCCATTAGGTGAATGTTGCAGAGTTTTAAACAGGCTCTCAAATAAACATCCTGCTAATGCCTCTCGGCCAGCTCTCCCAGGCTGGCTGTGCTGGGTTCTTCCCCCTCTCTTTCCTACTTTTGGGGCGTCACATGCTGAGATCCACACCATCCGTGTGGCTCTGGGGAGCAGGAAGGCAAGTCCTTGCCCCAGCTCCTGGGTGCCCTAATGATAAGCCCAATTTTTCTTCTGGAGTGATCTTTGAACCTACAGCTAACAAGGTGATAGGAGGTGAGCCAGAGTCAGGCTCAAATATATATATATATTTACATATATATGCACACACACACACACACATTTGAGTCAAGGTCTCACTCTGTCACCTAGGCTGAGTGCAGTAGCACAATCATGGTGAACCTTAGACTTGACTTCCTGCGCTCAGGTAATCCTCTTGCTTCAGCCTCCTGAGTAGCTGGAATTACAAGTACATGACCCCACACCCAGCTATTTTTTTTAAATTTTAATTTTCTTGTAGAGATAAGGTCTTGCTATGTTGCCCAGGTTGGTCCTGCACTCCTGGGCTCAAGCCATCCTCCCACCTTGGCCTCCCAAAGTGCTGCAATTATAGGCATGAAGGCTGGCTGCAGGACTGAGGAACCTTCTGGACAGCCACACCCTAGACCACGCAGGCCAGCTCTCCAGCCCTACCACTGTCATGGCTCCCATGGGAACAGAGTCGCCGAAGCCTCTGGAGGCCCTGGACGGGCCTGGCCCATCTTCCAGTTCACTGGCTTGTCCTGGGACCCTTTTGGCCTCTAGAAGGTCCCACCTCCAGTGTCTCCTCTCCTTGACTAGAAAGGCTCCTCCCCCATCCCCCATTCTCTTCTTGACCATGACTGAGCCTTCTAAGTCAGTGGTTCCCAACCAGGGGTGACTTTGACAATGTCTGGACAATCTTTGGTTGCCCCGCTGTGGAGGTGTTACTGGAAACCAGTGGAAGGGGCCGAGGATGCTGGTGAGAAAGTGTCCCCCAGGGGACAGGAGGCCCCACAGGGAAGAATGGTCAGCCCGAGAGCACCATGGATGAGACAGCTCGTCCCAGGTCGGGTGGCATGTCAAGCTGGCAGGAATGGTCTGTTGCCCACCCCAGTTTCAGGCTCTTCTTCTATGAAGACCACACTGCTGGGAAACCAGGGGTGCACATCTCAGCTCCACTCGATGCCGATGGGGCAGGGAGGCTGAGCTAGTGGGAGGTGGTGGAAGGATGTGTCTGCGCCTGCATCTCAGCTTGGACCTGAAGAATTTCCTGCAGGTACTCACGTCCCCTCTCACCTTGTCTCCGTTGGAGCAGGGCAGCTTGGAAGGCCTGTGTGGCTGGTGGCAGAGCTCCTGTCTGCCGGGCCCTGAGTGACCTTGTGGAGGAGGAAGGGCTTTAGCCCCCTTCTACGGTGTGAAGTCCCTGAGATTTGAGGACCTCTCTGCCGTGGCAGCCAGCATGGGCTTAACTAGCAGCTGGAGGGAAGCAACCTGGACTGGACACCAGAGGACCTGGGCTCGCATTCCAAACATGGCTTGAGACAGGAGGCAGAGAGGCCTCCAGAGACCCCCAGCCCAGCTCACAACCCTGCGAACGATGACTGCCTCCCCCCACAAGACAGAGAGTCATGGAAGGCGCTGGGCCTCACTTCCCAAGCTGTTCCTGGCACCCAGGAGGGCCTCCAGATTGCTGTGCCCCGATGCATGCCACACAGAAAGACGCTGGAGAAGCACTCCTGGGGCATGGAGAGCAAAGTTCGACTCGCAGCCACGTCCCCTGGTTTCCATTTCCTAGGCCGTGGCTGCTGTTCTGATGGGCCCGGGCCTGTCCCCTTCATTCGCTCACCGCTCCCAAGAAGCCTGCCCCTCCGACCTGGCTCCGTGGAGGCCCTCTTGATAATTTTATTGTGAATAAACTAAATCATCCTAGAAGGCGTCTAGGGCCCCCAGCAGGCCAGTCTATGAGGAATCTTGTCTCCTTTTCAACAGCGAGCACCAGGGTGCAGGTGAGTTGTTGCTGATCCCTGCTCTGGCCCGGAGTGGGACTGGCCCTCTGCAGACAGCGGCTTCTTCTCACCCTGCACACCCTCTGGGGACGGTACTCATCAGATACGGTCTCTGACACGCAGACACCAGGGAATTTGCTTCCAGAAACCTTTTCATGCGGTCATGAATATGCATCCACGGTAATTGTCAGGATAAAACCACTACAGTGGTAGGAGTGTTTATGGTGGGCAGGGAGTGGAGCTGTATGTGACCAGGAAGGGTGTGCACACGTGTGTTGGCCAGGGGTGTTCTGTCCTGGTGCGGGAGGGTGTTGGGAATGAAAAGAGGGTGAGGACAGAGGATGAGAATGAGAAAAGCGGTGGAAAGGTGTCAGCAAAGGGATGGTAGGAGCAGCAGCAATTTGGTAGATTCGTGCCAAGATGCCCCCTCCTGCAGCCATGGCAGACATTGCTAATGGATCACTGATGTTCATTCCCACGAGTCCGAATGAGGCCTCATAATCTTTCTCGACTCAGTGTTCCAGGCAGCCACGGCCAACTGACTGGCTTGCAATAGGGACTGTGAGATAATAAACTCAGAAAAGGAATGGGGATGGGACTGGACTCATCCACCTGTCCCAGCACCTGAGAGGTAGTGCATTCTCCATCTACAGCCTAACTTCCACACCTGTGTTCAGGGTGAACCATTCTCTGCTGTTTTGTTTGTTTGTTTGTTTGTTTTTTGAGTGGGAGTCTCACACTCTTGCCCAGGCTAGAGTGCAGTGGCTCGCTCACGGCCACCCCAGTGTCAACCTGCTGGGCTCTGGCGATCCTTCTGCCTCAGCCTTCCAAGTAGCTGGAATGACAGGTGTGAGCTATCATACCCAGCTACTTAAAAAAAAAAAAATTTATTGTAGAGATGAGGTCTTGCCAAGTTGCCTGAGCTGGTCTCAAACCCATGGGCTCAGGCAATCCACTTGCCTCGGCCTCCCAAAGTGCTGGGATGACAGGCTGAGCCACTGAATCCGGCCTCTCTTCTGGTTTTACTGAATCTGAGTTCAGTATGGGGCATGCTTTGACTCACACAGCATGAGTCCATCTGTTAACGTGGGCACCACTCCAATGCTTCACCTTGCCCTGTAGTCGCATCCTTTGCTACGGGACTGCTGGTCTTCTCACTCAAGGACCAGTGTCTGTCTCCCTGCCTCTTGATTCTAAATTCCACCATGTCCTTGTCTTGGTCAATGGGATGTTGGCAGAAGCTTGAAAAGTGTATGTATTTGCTTCTTCTCCCATGACTCTGCAGTGGGCAGGAGGACATGCTAGGGCTAGCTGGAGGGAGGATGAGGTATGTGGAGCAGAACTGAGGCAACCCAGATATCCAGCATGAGGCCAGTCTAGATCTGCCAATTGCCAGCTGCCCCCAGACAAGGAAGAGAGCCCAGCCAAGACCAGAAGAACCACTCAGCTAAGCCCGGCCTAAATCACCAACCTGTAGAATCACAAAAAAACCCAAAATGTATATTCCTATAAGCCATTGAGATGTTTTGTTATGCAGCATTATTGTGACTGTGGCTAACTGATATATGCTAGGGTGGTGGTTCTCAATTCTGGGGGCTCATTAGAATCACCTGGGGGGTTTTACAAATCTGGATGCCCAAATTCCATCTCTTTCAATCAAATCAGACCGCCTTAGGAAAGAACCTAAGGATCAGAATATTTCGAAATTCCCAAATGTTTCAGCAGGTAGCCAAACTGACCGCCGCTGTCCCAGGACTCATTCCCCACAAGGGCAATCCCCTCAACATGTCTGCGTGCATGTTCTCAGTTGTTTTCCATGTAAGACAAGAACATGTACAGTTCTGGAGTGGGCAGGGCTGATGCCAGCTCACTGCTTACCCCCTGTGTGAATCTGACAAAGTAGTTAAACTTTGGGGAGCCTCACTTTATTGTCTGTGAAACGGGGAGAAAAGCAGTCCGCTCACAGGGGGTTGCTATGAGGATCGTTCATTCACAACTGTTTTCCAGCAGGCACTCTGGGGACAGGAAGGAGAGTGGCAGTGACAGCATCTCCCTCCTGCACGTGTGCTGTGTGCTTAGCTCGGTCCCCGTTCACAGCAGCCACGTGGTCAATGGCAGCCACTGGTATCAGGGGGATATGATGATGCTCTTTTCACTGGACCTCCTGTGAGGTCAGAAGTGCCCATCTGCTCCTCCACTCTGAAGCGTCCAGGACAGGCTCCATCCCGTCTACATGGCAGTCTGAGTGGCCTTCTGGGAGCAGGGGAGAGCTGCAGTCCGGAAGAGGGAAGGGCTGGCTCCAGGCCCTGAGGGGGATCAGGAGGGAGGGGAGGGTGGGTGTGCCCTGGGAGGAAATGCCTTGCTCCTTGCCTTCTGCTGAGGTGTGGGGTGTTGGCTCTGCAGCTCCTGCCCACAGGCCAGGCTGCTTCAGCCAACCCCTGGGGGCGCACAGAGGGGCCCTTGTGAACACTGAAAGGGCCCTGTGTTTCTCTCCACTGGCCTCCCCTGGCCACACCTCTGCTCACAGCCAAGACACACACAGCCCCCCCGCACACCACTGGACCCCTGGCCAAGGGACACGCCCGGGGCCGCCTGGCTACCCAGGAGACGCCAGCCCCTCCGATGTCCCCGAGCGCTGCTGGCCTGTCTCCTGGGCCCGTAACCATGGAGACAGCGCCTCTGTATGTGTCTGTTTGGGTTTCTGAAGTGCTCTGGGAGGCAGATTTATTCCCCAGCTGGCCGTGGAGGCAATGCCCTGGGATTCCCCAGGAAGAGCCCCAAGTGTGGGCTTCATGGTCCCAAGTCCTCGCACCACAGCCCAAGGAAGCCCCTCATAAATCAGCTTCTGTCTCCACCCTGGGGGGTCCCCTGTCTGGCTGTGTCCCGCAGGAGCTAGGAGGGGTTCTGCAGAAAGGGCCCTCCTCGGGGAACTTAATCTGGCCCCAAGCCTCCTCCCCCAGGGCAGGCCCCTCCTCTCCCCCAGGGCAGGCACTCACATGCGGCTACTGGGCGGGATCTTGCGGCCGTCCCGGAACCAGGTCACCTGTGGCCGGGGGAAGCTGGAGATGCGTGGGGCGCGGATGACGGCGGCTTCACCGTGGGAGACGCTCTGGCGCTTGTCGCCCTCCTCGAAGCTCCCCATGTCTGCAAGGGAGAGCGCCAGGGAGGTCAGGGCCCGGAGGTCAGCCTCAGGGACCGCCTGGCTCCCGGAGAATCTGGGAAGGCAAGATGACGTGGGAAGGGGCCATCTCGCTGGGACCACCCTGAGTCCCCCACGCTGCGCAGTCCCCTGGCCCACCACTAGGGTGTGCCCTGCTTTATGCTTCTGTAGCCATATATTCTTGAATCAATGGATTCTTCCAACAACCGTGAGAGGTGGGTCATTATTTCACACATTTTACAACCCCGTAACAGCTCCAATGGGCTCAGAGAGGTGAATTAACTTGTCCAAGGACACATCGTCAGGATTTGAACTCAGGCCTGACTGAAGTCCGGAGTCGGGCCGAGCTGTTTCTCCTTCCCTGCCCTTAGGGCGCTGCTCTGGGCATGACGGGGGTTTCGGTGTGAGGTGAAGGGTGAGTTTTGGGGCTCGATTTCCAAGCCCTCCTGGGGAGGGGTGGTCAGGCATGCTGAGAGAGCTGGGTGGTGGAAGCTTGCTCATACACGGGTGTGGAGAGGATTTCCTCCGTGCCTTGGGTGTGTGAGGCTGTGTGTGTGTGTGTGTGTGTGTGTGTGTGTGTGTGTGTGACATAAACACCATATTGCTCTTTTTAACATGTCTTCCTCTTGGCAGACAAGGAGGGGAGCATTTATCCTGGCTCTGGTGCTCCACTGGCCAGGAGGGAAGCAGAAGTAACACAGGTGGGAGCCTTCAGCTTACTCCCTGCCCTCTGGGGTAGGGTGAATGGGCCGCGGTGGGGGAGGGTGGGGAACTGATGCCAGCAGCGGTGGCCCGGAGATGGGGGCGGGAAGGGGTCCGCATGCTTCTATCACACCCCTGAAAATCAGCACATCCTGCCGCTCCAAATGTGTCCCTGGGCAGGAGTAGGGGCACCACTGGGGTACCTGTCGGAAATGCAGAGTCCCAGGTCTCACCCCAGGCTTGCTGGATCAGAAACAGCTGGGAAGCATTGCCTGTCCCAGATTTGGCCAGAACCACCTGCAGAGTTGAAAAATGCTGACAGAGACTGGTTTCGTGGGTGTGAGGTATGGGGTGTGGGAGGTGGGGTGTGGGCTGGGGTACATGCTTACCACCCCACCCTCTAACCCATCACTAGGATTTGCCGGGGCCCGGTCACGGAATTCCTGTCGGTGCTAAGGTTTCAGGCCACTGACTTGCAGGCCTCAGTCTCCCCACTGCCCGCTCCCGCAACCAAGAGAAGCCATATCCCAAACCATCTCGCTTCTTCCTACCCCGTGGGTGGTTACTACTCAAGTCCACTAAGACCCCTGTCTCTTATTCTTCCTTTCACCAAGAGTCCCCCTGCCTGGCGGCACCTCAGCATCCCTCGAGGAGCCTTGAATATTCCCAGAGGCGAGGCTCTTTTGTGGTGTGTGGGATGGACCTTAGTATTTCTTTTTTAATTGAATCGGAGTCTCACTCATGCAGTGGCACAGACTCATGGTAGCTGCAAACACCTGGGCTCAGGCTATCCTCCCACCTCAGCTGCCCGAGTCGCTGGGACTACAGGCATGTGCCACCACGCCTGGCTGATTTTTAAAATTTTTTTATAGAGACGATGTCACGCTCTGTTGCCCAGGCTGGCCTCAAACTCCTGGGCTCAAGTGATCCTCCCACCTCAGCCTCCCAAATCCTGGCATTACAGGTGTGAGCCACCGAGCCAGGCCCAGACCACAGTATTTCTAAAGCTTCTCAGGCAGCTCTGAAATGAGCCATGACGGAGGGTCGCACTCCTGCTAAGGACAGCCCGTGGTAGTTCTCACACTTGGGTGGGTCTCCGAATTCCCTGGGACTTGACAAACCCACAAAGGTGCTCCCAACCCACCCTCTCCACCCAGGGTTCAGAAAGGGCCTGCTTCGACGCCCCTGGCTCTCTGAGTCCCTGATTCACTCTTTTGGCTCTCGAATTCTGCCGCACAGCACAGTGTGAGACCCGCTGCTATACACACTCATTTTCCAAAGCCCTGGGAGCGACTCTGTTTCCGGCCATGCTGGTCCCCCGGCGGGCTCACTTGGCCTCGTGGTTTGACCGCAATCTCCCTGCTAATGATTCTCGTGTCTCCTGCTCTGACTCTGCCCTGAGCTCTGGATCCCATTTCCAACAGGCCGACCCTCGGTCACCTCCTTGCTCCTGGGTCCTGCTAACGGCTCTCCCTGCACCTGTCACCTAAGCTCAAACCTGTGGAGTCTCTGGTGGTGGTCCTCCTCCTCCCCCCGGCAAAGTCCTTCAGCTGGTCCTCTGGAATATCACTGTCACTTATCAAGGCCCCTCTGGTCCCTCCAGCCTTGCCAATAGCCAGTGAGCCCCTTACTCCATCTTCACGGGAAACGTCTGGCGTGTCTCCGACATCCGGCTCCCCTCACGTCCATCTTCCACACTGTTGTCGATAGTTTTTCCTGACTTGCCTGGAGCCTTTGGCATCCCCTCATTGGCCCAGGAGATTGTCAATCCCCTTGCCTGGACTTAAGGTCCCGCCGTCATCTGCCCCCAACCAACCTTTCTTGCCTTTGTGTCCACACCATGCCCTGTCACTTTAAATTATACCCACCCCAGAATAAGAATCAGATCCCCCGAAGATTCTTAAATATCCCCAGAGGTGAGAATCGTTTAGGGTTTGTGGGGCCTGGACCTCTCTCTTTCCTGCCTGTATTTTGGCCGAGTCCCTACCAGGGCAAACCACAGTTTACCAAGGCACCATGATTCTACAGCATCCTGGAAGGATGTAATTACTTACGTGTTTCAAAAAATCAAATCTGCTGGGCGCTATGGCTCACGCCTATAATCCCAGTACTTTGGGAGGCCAAGATAGGAGGATCACCTGAGCCCAGAAGTTCGAGACCAGCCTGGGGCAATGTGGCAAGACCTTATATCTAGTCTCTACAGAAATATCAGAAACTTAGCCAGGTGTGGTGGCCCGTACCTGTAGCTCTAGCTACTTGGGAGGCTAAGGCGGAAGGACTGCCTGAACCCAGGAGGTCGAGGCTGCAGTGAGCCATGATCCTGCCACTGCATGCCAGCCTGGGCAATGGTGAGATCTCGACTCAATAAAAAAAATAAAATAAAATCCACTGTCGGCATCCTCATTCTAAACTTGGTAAGGCGGTTTGTGTAATGAGAGTAGCTTCGGAGTCTTTCAGGCCTGAGTTCAGATCCCAGCTCTGTTACTTATTAGTGACTGTGATGTTGGACAAAACTTCTGGCCTTACTGAGTCTTAATTTCCTCTCCTGTAAAATGGAGCTAAGACGAGTACCTCCCTCATAGGTTGCACTGGGGATGACATGAGATAATGTGTGTCAGGCTGCATCTCACCAAGGATGTCGGCATCCATATTCCGCTGCCACCCACCTGTTCTTCTTATAGTGTGATTGGCACTCCTCGCCGAGAGGTGGGACCTAAAGCCCTCCCCTTGAATCTGGTGACTTACTCTACCAACAGAACTCACAGGAAATGGCTGGATTCGGTGACTCAGCCTGTCATCCCAGCACTTTGGGAGGCCAAGGTGAGTGGATTGCCTGAGCCCGCGGGTTCGAGACCAGCCCGGGCAACTTGGTGAAACCTTGTTTTTACAATAAATGGAAAAAAAAAAAAAAAAAAAAAAAGCCAGGCATGCTAGTGCATCTGTAGTTCTGGCTACTTGGAAGGCCGAGGCAGAAGGATCGCCTGAGCCCAGCAGGTTGACGCTGGGGTGGCTGTGAGTTTGCCACTGCACTCCAGCCTGGGCTATGGAGTGAGACTCCAACTCAAAAAAAAAAAAAAAGAACTCACGGGAAGTGATGCCATACGACTTCTGAGGCCGCTGTCATCCAAAGGATACAGCTTCCACTGGCTTTCCCTCTCCAGACACACCCCATTAGAATCCCACAACTATGCTGTGAGGAGGCTCAATCTAGCCCGAGACATGGGAAGGATCCACACCGAGGGGAATTGACATCCCTAGATGACAGCCAGCGTCAACACCAGCCATGCGAATGAACACATGGGCCCGCAGATGACTCCAGCCCCAGCCGCCTTCGTGTCTTCCAGCCGAGGCCTCAGTCATCACAGAGTGGAGGAGGCTGAATGTACAGAGAAGGCTGCCTCTGTGGGGGTCTGTCCAGATCCCAGAATCTGAAAGCGTTGCTGTACACCGTTATGTTTTGGGGTACTTTGTTTCACAGTCATAGAAACTGGAAGGGTACATAAAAGTGCTAAGCAATTCTAACAAATATTTATACTATTAAAATATTAGAATCTGATACATTTTCCACAGTTTAGTTTAAACATCACCTCCTCCACCAAGATTACCCCAAACCATCCAAATAAACCAGACTTATTGAGCACTTACTCTACGCCGAGTTTTTTCTAGGTGGGCTCCCCACACATTGTCTCATTTAATCCTCACAATAACGTGACAGGCTCAATTTAAATAAATATACATTTTTAGTTGTTTATTAATTTCTATCACTTGGCTCGGTCAATAAAAAATCACATCAATGAATCACATTGATTTCAGCTGTTGAAATAATTGTATCTATTTAAAAAACTTTTCGCAGAACTCAGAAGATATATTTGAACAATTTCAAGCCATTTTATGGTAATAGTGTGTCTTTCTCCTCTCTCTGGTTTTATGAGCTCCATTTGGTCGGTGAGGAAATGAAGGCTCGTGGAGACAGAGGGCCTTATTCAGCACCAAGCAGCCAGGGCTGGGCCAGCCAGGGCCATACCAGCCCGTCCTGCTCATCCCTCCCTGGCTCTGCCATGACTCACAGCCTGCAGGAATGCTCAGCAGGCACCGTCTTTGTCTCCTCCCATAGATGGTAAACCTTGGGAGGCTGCTATATTCAAAAGCAAAGCCCTGCAAGACACGCAGCCCCACACTCTGCACTCAGCCGCGTCTCTCTGGATCCACCCAACGCCAGCATCCACCCGCTCCTCTTCGAGCCCCCCATGGGCCAGGTGGGCTCTGTGGTGGGCACTGAAGG